TTGGCTGCAGGTCTTGGCCTCCCCAAGCCTTGCTTCCAGAACTCGAGAGGAGAGGCAGGGGGAGACGGGAGGTGGCTCTGGTTTACAAGCCACCAGGCTTCTGAGTGAAGAGCAGCTGTCTCTGCCTCTGGGCAAGTCCTAGGTCAGAGAGTCCAAATCCAGGTGTGGGCTATTTCCAGCCTGCAGGTCCGCCTGGAGACTTTCACAGTATGCCAGCTCTCTGGGGAGTCACAGAACCAGCGTGTCCCCTTAGGACGGCGGGAGATTCAGCACAGCCTCATCTCCAACGACAAAATACTGAGAGACCTCGGCGTATGCCTCAGACAGGGCAGACACATCTTCACGTTAGGAGCCACACAAGAGCGGGAATTCGACACCCCGGGGAGAGGAGCACCCCAGAGGACAGAGGACCGCCGTGGCACACACACCTACAGACAGAGACCACCACCACAGCGCAGCTGACCGGGAGGAGAGTGGCTGGGGCAGGAGATGGGGCTTTCGTTTGTTACTGTGGCTGCTCTTTGGAGAGGCCAGAGCGAGCCACACGGAGATCTCGCCTTCAGACCTTCCCACACAACCTCCCCAATCCGTAGCCCTTTCCTCTGACCTCACGAAAGCTGTGTCAGCCTCAGTCCTGGCCTGAAGAACCCGAGCAGCTCAGGGCAAAAACTCCAGGGTTTCCGGTCAGCAAGAGACAAAGGGCACTGGGGCCACGGTCCACGGGGGAAGGGGTTCAGGAGTGCAGAGGGAGGAGGCGTTCCTATCTCGGGGACCAGCGCTCTCTGTCATTCTTTCATGACTAAGAATTTCAGAAGGAGTTGGGGAGGGGGGTGTAAAAGAGACAGGAAGGCATGTTGGAATGATGGAGGTAAAATGTTGAAAGGGCTTCCCTCCCTTGTGCCCAGGCCTGGAAGAAGTGACCCCAAATTTGCATCTTATCTACACATCCCAGAGGTGTCAGTAGAGACAGCAAGGGGGACATTTCTGGGTTCCCTTTCCAAAGCAATCCAGGGCCAGCACCTTCCTAAGGCCGCCAGACATCCCGGTCCCGTGTGGCAGCTGGGCCAGGGCAGTGAGGACTGAAACAGCCCCTTCTGCAACTCCTCCCGCCCTGACCGGCCCGGAGGACCCCACGGCCTCGTGGAGCCTGTGCAGGCCGGATCTCCCGCTTGGGGCAGTGGGGCAGCTGTCTCCTCCTGAGGGGCCTCTTCACCCTTCCAGGGGGACCTGGAGGCGCCTACCAGGGCCTCCCCCACAGAAAAGCTACAGGCTGCTCCAGGCCAGCTCCAAGCTGCCATCATCCGCACGTGGGCAGATACAGGCCTTCCCCCAAGCCCAGACGTGTTGCTTAAAAGCAAGCTTGGTGTGACTTCTTTGGGGAATAGCCCAAAGCTGCTTCTTCACGTCTCTGGCTACGACGTGTTCAGAGAAAAGCAGAGAAGAAACAAAGGGTTTATGCCTGATGTCGGTACGGACAACTGGGAGTGTAGGGAAACGTGAAGCTAGGTTCTGATGGGCACCTGGCCACAGGTGGGCATGGTAGGTTTGCTGAAAATGCCTCTGACATTGGCCTTCATCCCGACACACACCAGCCACGCCAGACACGGGCACGGCGCAGCGACCCTGCTGGGGCCTCTGTGGAGTCCGCCCAGTCTGGGCACGAGGCTCCCACCACGGTCCTCCCACCCACAACTTTCCCTGCTGGGACTGGACGGGACCACTGTGTGGGCCACTTTCTGCCTCTGAGCAGGCCTGGCAGTGGCACCCCTGCCCCCCACCCCAGAAACAGGAAAGCAGCATTAGGAGGCACAGCCCGAGATGCAAGATGCTCTCCGGCTGCCCACGCGCTCCAGCCCAGGTGCCTTCCTCCTGCGCTGTCATGCAGTACTCGGAAAACAGATCAAAGCAACAGGGCTGAGGTCATCTGCTTTCCTCCCCTCAACCTCCAGAGGGCAGAAACAGCTGGAAGTTATTGCCTGCGCAACTTCTATCAACGAACGTGCCTCCTGAACAGAGAGACCTACGTATGCACGCACCCTCCCTGGCGGCACAGCACTGGACGTACGATCAGGATTCCTTAAGACAGTTTAAGGTTATGGCTGAAAAGCAACCTGAAGGCTGGGCCAGGATGTGGCTTATTTTTCAGCCCCTCCAGGACCCAGCACATTGGCTCGCACACTGTCAGTGCCCTGCCGAGTGTGTTCTCAGCCAGTACCGGCAGGCCGCAATCACATGGCAGGCAGGCGATGTGTTCATTTGCCTTTGGAGGAAAAACCCCCAGAGTGGTCAAACAGGCAGATGAGTGGTGGACAACTAGGATGGACACTCTTCCCTTTCCCGGCCAGAGGAGCGCAAATGCTTCCTGAGCATGGGCCATCTATGGCAAAAGCCTGATGGGTCTGCCTTCCCAAACGCCACTTGGCCCAGAGGTATTGGTAAGCCAGGACTCCGGCCGGCCTACTCCCCCCCCCTCCTCTGCTCTGAGATAATCGCCCCATATTTTCACGCTCTCGCTCACATAGCTAGCATTTCCTCCTTTGTTTTCTAGTACCTAATAGAGGCCTCTTCGACTACATGTTGAAAAAGTGCAGGGGGTATACTTTTTTTCCTTTTTGCCACAGGTTCCCCCCTCCCACCTTTAGCATCCAGCATGAAGGGGGGGGCAGGGTGCAGGAAAGGCAGAAGGCAGGATGGGAAGAGGAGGAAGTTCTTGGTGGGGAACAGACATGAAAGGGCAAACCACGCAATAAAAACCACAACCCCAATTGCAGCCATAGAATCACTGCCTCCCTGCGATAGCAGAGTTGAGATTTTTTTTTTTTTTGAGTCCCCAACTATTGCCAACCATCTCCCTCAGAGAAGCAGAGACAAGTGAAGGGGAGAGATGGAGAGAGTCTGTGGAGCCAGGGGCTCTCCAAGAACCTATGTCCCTTTGCAAGTCCCTGTGGCTGCCGGGGCCTGCGAGCGGGAGGGGGGGCTGGAGGAGGCCACAGGAGAGACGCGTCCTGCCTGGCGGCTCCAGCTCTGCCTCTCAGCCTGGAGCAACATCAGAGTTTCCCTTTAGCTCGTTAAGCAGGGTGTGTGTGCATGAGTGTGCGTGTGTGTGCACATGTGCACACGTGCACGAGCACCCCTGTTCTCCCCATCAGTATTAATACTATTGACACAAATAATAGAGATGCGGAGAGGCCACCAAGCAGGATGCAGGAGTGTGAACATAGCCGGGAGGTCTGTGAGGCTGTGGAGCTGAGGGAGTCTATAACCCCCGTTTCCTGCAGGGCCCCCTTACCTGCCCTCCCGTCCCCACCAAGGCAGCGCCTATTTGCCAGACGGGGCTGGAGCCGGCCAGAAGGGCCCTTTCGCTCGCTGCTTGGGCTAGAGGTCATTATTAGTAATTATATCTCTGTCCGAGAGGGTGCTGGCTGCCTGCCAGTCCTGGTCCCTGCCTTCCCCTGGCCTGCCCTGGGAAATGTCACCATCAGCAAAACACTCCCTTCTCGCTGGGGCCGATGAGAGGGAGACTGTGGAATGTCCCTCCTTCAAGGCCACCTGCCCACAACCTGAGGCTGGCGCTGGAGCAAAGAAAGGGAGGAAGGGGGACAGACCGGAGACAAAAGGTCATGCCTGTGCCCTCTGACCCCCCACAGACTGGCGGGGCCCTGGGGGGTTACCCCAGGACTCTTGCCGCCTACAAGGACGCAGCCAGGGCTCACTTGGAACCCGGAGGAGCCCTCTGTGGGAACCCACTCACGCCCAAACCTTCCCTCACACAGGAGCTGCCTGTTCCTTCCGGGAAACCCAGGTGACGCAGACCCGGCAAGGCCCGGACCTTCCCCCACAGAGTTTCCTGAAGGTTTCCTTTGGGCCTCTAGGCCAGCAGCCTGGGCTGGACGGTGGAGTGGGTGTCACCACGCCAGGCCCCTGGGGGCGGGGGAGAGGCTGGGAGGAAGCTGCCATTTGTCTGCCTAGGGGCCGTTCACCATCCCACGTCCAGGGTGCCCACAGCCAGCACCCACCTCTTCCTCTCCCCCTTCCTCTCTCCTCCTCTCAGCCGGCCCTCACACAGACCTGGGGGGCTCCAGCCTCCCTAGTTAGGGGTTCCCAGCTCCCGAAGAGCCTGCAAAGGCCCTGAACCGGCCCATCTGTCCTGCTGTTCCCGCACTGGGGCTGGTGGCCATGGCCTCTGAGCCCTGGGCGTGCTCAGAAACAACACCGGGACCCTGACCACGCACAGACAGCTACAGAGCCCAGGCTCCAGGGCAGTTGGGGTTCGGGCGGAAGACACATGCAGGCCTGGGGCAAATTAAAATATCTGCTTCTTCCCACCATCCCCCCACTCCCCACCTGGCATCCAGATGAAACTGGGCCCATCTGAAAACCAAAAGCATCCTTTAGGGGCAGGAGCAATGTTCCAAAAAGGGCAAAACGCTAGTGTGGGGGGAAACATCCACTTCACCAGGTGGGGGCGGGACCGCCAGGCCTCCCCTCTCCACTTCCCAGCTGGAGGACAGTCGTCAGTCCTACCCCTGCCCCGCCTCCGATCCCCAAGGCTGCAGGCATGACCTTCGACCTTCGCTGCCATCCCTGTCCCCCTCGGCCTTCCCCCAGTGCCGCTGGGTGGGGGCCCTGCCCCTGCTCTGCCCTCAGAAGCGCCCCCTCCCCCACCAACCAGCAGGGGGCCTCGAGGAAGGGGGATCTGGCTCCGTGTCCAGAACGGGGCAAAGGCTCCACCTTTTTATTTTTTAGACAATTCTGTTGTCCAGGATCACAGGCCTCAGGAAAAATGGGTTCTAACTACACTTCACTTAGCTCCGGGATCCCCCTAAGGAAGTCGGGCTTCCCCTTCTTGTTCTGCCGCAGACCCTCACCCCTCCCCGAGTGCCCTCCCCTCCCTTCTCTTCACCCCCCTCCCTGCCCAGGACCCCCCAGAAATGGGAGCTGCTGAAGGTGACACAACAGCACCACCCCTAAAAGGAGCCAGGCCGGGGACTCACGGCATCTTCCGTGGGGTGTGAGTGAGGGTGGCTCCGGCACAGGCCACCAGCTTGTCCCTTGGGCACAGCCGTGACACCAGGGCTCCCTGAGGAGGCCCAGGGTGGGCAGCAGGGCAGTGAAGAGGAAGGGGGCTGCTCCCGTCCCAGCCTGTGGGGCAAGGAAGGGGGTCCGCAGGGCACCCCGGCCACCTGCGGAGCCCTGCCCCCACCCTCTCACACATGCACCCAGAGAGGACACTACAAGCCCCTCTTCTCGGAGTCCTGAAGCCTGAGGTTCCCAGTCGTCTTTCCTGAACCACACAAAGGAAAAGTAGTAACACTCATCTCATTTTTCTTCCTTAAGATATCTAAACTTTGTGAGGGGAGGGCTGAAAGGAATCGTGCTGTATTCAAAGCGCAGAGACAAAAATGCGCCATGAGTGTAGCTCTCCAGGGTATCATGAAACCATCACTGTGAAACCCAAACCCTCCCCCAACCTCACAACCTGTTATCTTCCCCAGCTCTGAAGGAATCTGGCCTCCCTCCCGCCCTCCCACAGGCTCTCCCCTGGTTCCAGTCAGACGTCTGAGCCTGAACCACAGGGAAGTAGCTGCTGCCGGCCTGCCCAGGCTCCTCCTTCGCCCTGGGCCAGCACAGGAGCAGGGGCCCGGGGACCTGCTGGCTCCTGCCCCAGGTGCCATGGGATGAGTCAGCCGGCTGCAGCAGGAAAGCCCGAGTGCGAACCTCTGGGCAGGAGCCCTGTCTGCATTTCCTCAGTGTTGCCCACACTGGATTTCCTACCGGCCCCCAAAAAACAGCGCTTCAGAAATGCCTGCAGGAAACAGGATTGCAACTCCGAGCGTGGGTCCTGCAGCCTCACCTCTCTGGTCTGCTGGAGCCACCATCTAGAGGGGAAGCAGAGCAAAGGTACCCTGGCCGTCGCAGGGATTTGAGCTGGGAGACAACAGCATCGGCCTCTGCACAAAATGGCAATAGCTACCACACACTGGGGGCCTTCATCATGCCAGGCCCGTGCCGGGACGGTCACCAGCATTACCTCTGATCCCTGGGACGACCTTGCTGGACAGGCTGCACCCCCAACCCCCACACCTTACAGATGTGGGGAATGAGGCTCCCGGAGGTGAAGTTATTTGCCCAGAGCTGGGCTTGAAGCCAAGGTCATAAAGTGAGTGTCACACCTGCCCTGCAGTGAACGCTGGCCCTCTCCGGAAGTCAGCGCTCCATTCTAAGATGCACCGCCAGTCCTGCTGAAGTCCCCAAACCCATGGTAAATCCCTCACCTACCACCGCAGCCCACATAACTCACCATTTCCTTGGTCACAGGTTTGGCCTCGTGGCCCTGACCCCAGGCAGCCTGGCCCATGCAATAGAAACCCCCTGTGCTCCCAAGGAAAATGCCAAGGAGACACCTAATTTGGCTCACCTGCACAAGGTGGGCAGGGAAAGCATCTGCAGTTCCCCCAGACAAGCACGGTTCTGAAGTGGTGGTTTTTGTGACATATGTTTTTTAAGACTCCCAATGTCACTGTGGAATCACCAGGGCAAGTGTTACAGTCTCCATTTTACAGGTGGGCACACCAAACTGGGGTTCAGAGATGTTAAGTAATTAGCACAGTGTCACACAGCTACTCCGTGGCAGAGGGGAAACTAAAACCCTGACCCTTCACACACATCCTATGATTCTGGCTCATTCTCTGGGGCTCGAAGGAAGAGACCAATTTGAAGTTTACCAACACCTTCCTTTCTTCAAAACACAGGTGATAAATGTGACTCTGGAGACTTTTGTCTGCTTACAGCACCCTGACAGCACCATCCCACAGCTGGTTTTGCTACCCTTGCTTTCCTGATGGGGAAACTGAGGCCTCCAAAGATGAAGGGCTTGGGCCCCTTCTGCAGGGAGTCATGAAACTGAGAAGGGAACTGTGGGGCCTTCCTAATGTCACTTCAGATCTCGGGCCACCCCACCACTGCGGGCAAGTTCCAGTGCCCCGTGTTGGTTTGGGAGACCCAGACCCGGCTCGGCTCCTGTGGGCAGAGCAGATGCGGTGGCTGGAGATGGCACCGGCTGCCCTCCCGTCCCCACTTCTGCAGGGGACGGATTTGCACGTGCTCCAAAGAGGACCTGCCAAGTAGTAGAGCCTGTCTACAGTGGAGTAGAAAAATTGGGGGTCTCGGATCTGCTTTTTACACTTTTAAGTCCTTGTGGCATTTAGGAATATTTGGGGAAATTTTTTTCTAAAATTAAATTAAAATGAATCACAAAACCAATAACCGGCCTTTAAAGACACCCTGCTATGGGTTTTGAGGGAAGAGTTTTTGTGGGGAGAGAGAGAGCCAGAGTAGTCAGGAGAGGAAGCGTACCCCTCTGAGGTGATGTCACCCTCCCCGGCCCTCCCTGGGCTTTCAGAATCTAGATGGGCTCATCCGACCAGCAGGGGGGAGGAATTATCTTAGGAGAAAGGTGAAAATTCCACCCAGACAGGGGCCCTTTAAATGAGATCATTATGCATGTGTGTTACTCTCAGGCCCCTGCAGGAGAGTGACCCCCATCTCGGTCCACAGGTCACCGTGCAAAGAGTGGGGGAGACCCACACCGCTCGGCTCCACGCCAGGCTGCCCTGGGGCCACCGGCCAACAGCAATTAGCCGGGAGACGAACGAACGCTGCCGCTGAGTGGCTGAGCGGACACAGCAGCTGGGCAGAAGTGGCCCAGCTCGCCGGAGTCTCCAGGGCTCCTTCAGGAGCCGAAGAACTAAAAATAACCGGGGTCTTTGTTGCAAGCAGCCGGGCCACAGAGACAGAGCCGGTTTCAGGGAAGCCAAGCATGCGCGAGGGTCCTGCTCACTGAGACCTGCCCTTTGGGCAAATGATTTTTCCAGAAATGTGTCAGTGATTGTGCTGTTGCTGCGATTCAAAGACAGCCAATCCGCTGCAGCCCGCAGGGCTGTCTTCCAACACACAGAGTTCTCGGAAGCTGAGCCTCCCCACCTCTTTCTTCTAGAAACATTTTTTAAAAAAAAAACAAAAAGAGTCTGGCACACACTGGGGACATGAGGAGACACAAGCGGTCCTCCAGCCGAGGGTTCCGAATCATCGCCACCCTGATCACACACAACCTCATCGCCCTGTTTGTGTGGGTAACAGTCATCTCTCTCCCATCCGAATATTTCCAGTCGGGGCTCGGGAGACAATGGCAAACATACAGTGGAGGGAGGAAATTACTTGGGAAAAGGAATTCATAGCTTTGCATCAATACTTAAGCGTTTCTCAAAGCCGCGGTCCCTTGTACCCCACGCTGGGAACCTTGACTGGGCAGCCTGCGCTCGCCTTCCTGGTTCCTGGGTCACCCTGTTCTGGGGAAGCTGGCCCAGGCCTCTAGGCCCAGGTGGGTGGGAGACAGAGTCTTGAGCATCTGTCCTTCCTCTGTCCTTAGGCTGTGGCTTGTCTCACCTCAAGGATGCCCCAGCGCTGAAGGCCAAGGAACCAGCCTGGTCCCTTGCAAAGTCTCTCCTGATGGATAACAAATACTGTCTGGCCATGGCGGGGCCACAGCATTATTTTCACAATGTTTCCTCCCAACTCTCAGTGCCTCTACTTCCCTCCCCACCCCCTTAAGTCACCTAGCACAGTGGATCGAGACCATCCTGGCTGTGGGGGCCACTGCTGGGGCTCTAGAAATCAACTCTTCCTCTCCGCAGCGACCTGGGAACAGGAAGGGGGCGTCAAGGCTTCAAGTGTAAAGTTTCTGGTGAGGCTCGCACTAAACCGCGGCTTCTCAGCAGCAGCCCTCTGTTCCTCTGGAGAGAGTTCAGGACGCGGAGCCCAAGCCGGCAGTAGGGAGGAGGCTGCGTGAAGATTTCTTGGAACACGATAGATAAAAAAAAAAAAAAAAACACCAAACTACACACGAATGGTGGATGAGTGGTCACAAAATGGCTTCCCTTAAAATGGGGACCAGCGAGGGGGCCGTAGCGCCAGGGTGAAGGTGAGAGGGGTCCACGGGCTGGGGCGGGGTGTTCCGCAACAGTGCAAGGTCCTTCTGGTGGAAACGAGGGGGTGCTGGCTGAAGTACCGTAGGTGGGGGCAGGTGAGCAGGTCCCTCGCCCTCTCGGTGCCGCGTGCCGTGCCCCGCCGGGACTGTTGCTTTTCCTTACAGTTGGCCTGTCGGGCCATGTGGGAGGAGGGCGTGATCTGGTTTGAACTGGGCTCCGCTTCCGCCTCCCCAGCAGCCAGTCACATCCTGTGACCTGGGGGCCTAGGCCTGGCAGCCGAAGGCTGAGGCTTTCTCTTTGAGCAGTTCCCAGCATAAGTGGCAGCTCCAGCTTCCTGCAAGAAAGGAGACGGCGTGAGTAGCAGCCCCTCTCCCAACCCCAGCGGCCCTAACTGCTTGGAAACCCTGTTCTCTTCTGATGTTCACAGCTCACAGGCCAAGTCCCCGTCCTGAACTCGAGCTGCAGTCTGTTGCCCCACAGGAAGTGTGTGCTCAGGGGCGATCCTGTGACCGGCTGTAGGGACCCTCCCCCTGCCCCTGCCGTCAGGCCCTCCCCACCTGCCCTGCCATCTCAGCTACGTGTCTGTGAAACATCTCCTCGGCCCTCAAGTTGAAATTCCAGCTGGTTCAGCTGTGCCTCAGTTTCCTCATCTGTGAAATGGTAGTAGTCATACCTACCTCAGGGCTGTGGTGATTAAATGGGACAAGACATGTAAAGCCATTAGCACGAGGCCTGCGCCACAGTGAGGGCCCAGTAGTGGCAGTGGTAGTAGCTGCTGCCGTTGTTAGGGCTGACCTCACGTCATTACCTTCTGGGGGCTCAGCCACTGGGGGGTTTAAACAGTACATGTGATAGCCGCGGTCACAGTCGTCGCAGAAGAGCAGCTGGTCCTGGGGGACACAGAGCAAGTACAGAGGAGGAGAGAGAGTCAATTATTTGGGGTCAATGTCCGGCCCCCACTTACCCCCCAGCCTTATTTCCACAGACCAGCCTCACTGTCCCCCCTTCCAGGCCCCATCTGGAGTCCTCGCTGTCCCTTGAGCATGACTTGAGCTTTGCCCACACCTGGAGTTTCCCCCTCTGCCTCCTGACCTCTACAAATCCTACAACCCCCCACACTGTAGGGCTCTGCTCCACTCACACCTCCTCCAAGAAGCCTTTCTTTCTTTTTTTTTTTTGAGACAGAGTCTCGCTTTGTTGCCCAGGCTAGAGTGACTGCCATGGCGTCAGCCTAGCTCACAGCAACCTCAAACTCCTGGGCTCGAGCGATCCTCCTGCCTCAGCCTCCCGAGTAGCTGGGACTACAGGCATGCGCCACCATGCCCGGCTAATTTTTTATATACATATCAGTTGGCCAATTAATTTCTTTCTATTTTATAGTAGAGACGGGGTCTTGCTCTTGCTCAGGCTGGTTTTGAACTCCTGACCTTGAGCAATCTGCCCGCCTCGGCCTCCCAGAGAGCTAGGATTACAGGCGTGAGCCACCACGCCCGGCCCAAGAAGCCTTTCTTGACTACCACCTTACATCTAAGCTTAAAGGGACTCCTTATTCTTCTGAACTCCCATACCAAATAACTCTGCTTCCAAAGGGAAGAAAACTAATTTTGTGCGTTTCTCTATTCCTTAACATTTTTACCTAGTATGAAGAAAATACAATATTTGGACATGTTAATTGAATGCCTCTGGACTCCACTCTTCCCATCTGTGAAATGGACAACAGCTGTACTGGGTGGTACGGTCCATCACACCTCAGAGCCCCTGCAGGGTTTCGCTGTGAGAAGCTAGAGGGATGACAGCAGTGCCATCCTCAGCTTCCAGAAGCCTCCTCACTGTGTGGAGGCAGGAGCTGGGGTGGGAGCAGGACGCCCCAGGCCACAGTTACCTTCAAAGGGCGCACCCATACCTAGGCTCCCTGTAGTTCCTTCTGCCTGGAGGCGCTTCCAGGCCCTGAACCCTCTTTCATGTCCATACCCCGCCTTCCCTTCTGGTCCTCAAGCATGTCTTTTCCAGAAAGACTTTGCTAACCTACCTCAACTGGAAGTCATTTCTCCCCTTACAACCCATGGCACTTTCTCTTTCTTCTTCTCACATTTAATTGCATTTTATCTTGTGTTAGGATGCCTGCCACATGGTAGACACCTATGTGTTTGTTTTCTCAAATAGTTATTTGGAACTCGCCTCTTTTGTCCACCCCTTATCTCCTTTATGGACTGTAAGGCCCTTGGAGGCAGAAGTTGGTCTTACTCATCTCTGCATCCCCTGTAGTGACTTCCTTGTATATAGTAGCTGCTCAGAAAATGTTTGTGACCTGGCCCCATTACCCAGGTTCAGCCCTGTTCTATTTGGTGATCTTTGGACCTGCTTGGATGGTTTATGAGACGTTTACAAAATAAACTTTTATATCAAATCTCACCTTGGCTCCCATCAGCACAGAGATCCTGGATAAAATTAGATAAAGAAGTTGGAAACCCCAGTGAGCAAGCAATGAGGCCTTTTTTGTCATGTTAAGGCCTGTCGAGGGGACAATGATGCTTTTGAAGAGTTTATTAACAAGGAAGTGATATGATCAGACTGCAATTTAGAGAGCTCTCATTAGCTGCCCAGTAATGGCAGATACCCAGGTGGGGAGAGGTGTGTTCAAGAGAACAGGAGACCAGTTAGGAAGCTGCTAGAGCCATCCAGGTGAGAGATGATGCTGGCCTGAACTACGCTTTTGGCAGGGGGGAAATAAATGGGTCTTGCTCCAATTTAAGAGTCATTGATTAGATGTGGAGAATGATAGGGAAGAAATCAAGTTGTCTTCTGGGTTGTGGCTTGGTCAGCAAACCAGATGATGAAACCACCCATTGAGACATGGGTGGAGGAGTGGACCCGTGGGAGGGAGAGGGCAACCTCAGCTGCAGACATGTCCTATAGGTCTACAGATCTGTCAGGATGACCTAGGATCAGTTGAGGAGCAGGAGAGAGGTCGGGGCATGAGATATGATTTGGGAGTCATTGGTGACTTGATGACAAACGAAGAAGCTCAGAGTGTGTGAGAGCAGATGTCTTTGGACTTGTGCACATGGAGGAGTGTCCATGAACCCCTAGAAATGATACGCACAGGCCGGGCGCTGTGGCTCACGCCTGTAATCCTAGCTCTTGGGAGGCCGAGGCGGGCGGATTGCTCAAGGTCAGGAGTTCAAAACCAGCCTGAGCGTCTCTACTATAAATAGAAAGAAATTAATTGGCCAACTGATATATATATAAAAAAAGTAGCCAGGTGTGGTGGCTCATGCCTGTAATCCCAGCTACTAGGGAGGTTGAGGCAGAAGGATCACTTGAGCCCAGGAGTTTGAGGTTGCTGTGAGCTAGGCTGACGCCACAGCACTCACTCTAGCCTGGGCAACAAAGCGAGACTCTGTCTCAAAAAAAAAAAAAAAAAAGAAAACAAAATTTAAAAGTACATCTAAAAAAAACAAAAACATAAAAAAAAAAAAAAAGAAAAAAAAAAAGAAATGATACGCACAATTTTGAGTATAGGTGTAAATATACATTTTTTGAGAAAAGAGTAAATCCATAGCTTTCATTGCATCCTTTGAAAGATCAAGTATCCAAAAAAGGTTACTGAGAAGAAGGCTGAGAATAGACCCTTGGGGAACACCAACTATAAGGGACAGGCAGAGAAAAATGAGACTAAGGAGCAGCAGTCAGAGAGAGAGGATGAAAACCATCACACTGTGGTTTACTCCAAAAGAGTTACATCATTATTGTCAGAGCTGAAGGAAGCTATCTGCCAATTTGATTTAGGAATGATACTAGGAGAAACAGTTAGATTGAGCACAGGAAACAGGGAGAGACTTGTCAGAAACAGTATTACTAATGTCCTAAAGACATTACTATCCCCACTATAGGTCTGACGTGATAAATGCAAGGAGGTAGAGGACCCTAGCTTAAACTTTCCCAAAGAAAAAGTAGGCATATGAGAGTTTAAGTGCATTTTTAATGGGTTGATCATTGTCTAGCACAATATTCTCTTCTCTTCCACCTGCTTTTCAGGATGATTGCCTGTCAAAACCACCAAGAACGCCCAGCTCATGCTAATGTTCATGAAAAACACAATTTAAGGACCTCTTGCTACCAAGCAGCCAAGAACCAGGATTCACTTGTGGCTATAGTTCCAGTAGAATGGGAATCCCATCCTGGGACGTGCAGGGTGAATCCCTGACCTTGTGGGATGAACCCTAATGCCCAAGCACTCTCAGTCCCTGACTCCTCCCCTGAGGCTCTGCCAACAAAAACTCTCTGTATTAACAGTATTTGTAAAGCCAAAGACCAAAGTCAACCCAAATGTCTATCAGTAAGGAGCTGGTTGAATAAACTAATAAGAAATTATGTAGTTGCAGGGAGGAAGGAAAGATATGTATATATATATTACTCTGTAGGAATCTGAGATATTCAGTGACAAACAGCAAGGCGGAGACCACATGTACATCTGTTACCATTTTGTTATGGATTCATATGAACACATGTATGCTTACATTTAAACCAAATGGAAAGATAAACTATACATTTTTTTAAATTCTCACCTATAATCAGAGTGAGGGAATAGTGCTGAAGAGGTGGTGAATATAAACTAGATTTCTTTGAATATAGTGTTTCTTGATAGATTTGACTCTGGAACCAGTAAATATTTTACATAGTCATAAAACAAAAAATTTCAATTATAATATGTCTCTAAAAAACAAAAGAAAAATGAAACAAATGAATTTAACTATGTATCCTGTTGGTGGGATAACCAACAGAAGAGAAACTATTCCAAGTGACTTTAAAACAAGTAATTTGACCGTACATCCTCAGTACAATATACCTTAAGGACAAAACTAAATGCAAATTTGCATACATACATATATTTCTTCTCAGCAATTATTCTGTTGGTGATAATATTGGAATTGATATTCTGAGACTGTTGTGTGTATGTCAAATGAGTAATTATGTTGGTACCATTGAGAAGCAAGATTTTTAACATAGTTAAAAGAATATACAGATTGTAAGATAAAAGAAGTTAAGTAGAAATTTCATAGTCCTAGATATGAATTGGAAGTATCAGTATAAATTCATGGTATAGTTTACCTTTAAAACAAAGCAAAAAAAATATTTTCTGCATCTGTCCATTGCAAATGCCCCAAGACAATGACAAACACAGTAAAAATTATCACTATAGCACCCACATTATATTCTCTTAAAGACCATTCATTACCTACCAAAATGAACACAGAGTCCTTGGAGAAATAGCTGATTCCAGGTTTGGTATGTGAAATGTGCAAGTATCTTTACATATTAGAAAGTAAGGAAGCTGTCAAATACTATAAAGATCATGTCAAAAGGACTAAGGATCCAAAATGAATATGTTCCCACTGGCCAAAGGTAGGACAGTTTTAACTATGATGGATCAAAACAAATAAAATATGTTTCAATCATTAAGTTCATAAAGATACTGTTTTAAAACTTATCACTTTCAGAAGATGCTAGAGAAACATAACACTATATTTTTATTTATTGTTTTGAGATAATTTTAGACTTAGAGGAAAATTGCAAAACTGTACAGAGTTTCTGTATACACTTTACTCAGCACCTCCCTAATATTAACATATTACTGTAGTAAAATCATGAAAAGCAGGAAATTACTATTGGCATAATACTATTAACTACTCTACAGACCTTATTTGAATTTTGCCAGTTTCCCAAAACACCATGTCCCTTTTGCCAGGATCTAATTCAGGATGCCACATTGCATTTAGTTATTGGGTTTTCTTAGTGTCCTTCACTCTGTGACAAGTTCCTCAGTCTCTTTGTCTTTCATGACCTTGACACTTTTGAAGAATCCAGGCCAATGACGGCATTGTAAATG